CTAATGGTAGTTTTAATTTTCTTTTCTCACAAGTCAGGGAACCTCCTAGCTTAGTCTTGATCCTACCCCCTGTTCAGTATGTTGTTTCCAGCAGTCATCTTGGTGGTAAGCAAAGAGAAGTCTTCCCACTGCCCAACTCCCACTTTGGTTCCCTGCCTATAAATAGATTTTGCCCAAGGCGGGAATCCTTTCTATTCAGCTTTAACCCTTTCACATCCCCATGAAAAAGTACTGTATTCAAAATGGTTCCAGCATCAGGAGAGCTGGACATATGTATTGACAGGACCAACAATAGTATAGGCTTACAGGAAAAACAAGACTATTTACAGATCATTGTCTTGAATACTGGTCCATAAAATTCCTTAAGTTGCACAAATAGCTTTCAACGGAAGACTTAGAGTAATAAAAAGGTTTATATTTCTAACTTCAGATATAAAAATAATACATGCACACAAATAAAATATACACATTCAGTGGATTACAAGTTTTTTTAATGAGAGGTTATATGCTGCATTTTGTATAAAGCATGCTTGAGTTATGCATATTTATATTCAAACCCACATTTTCTTAAAAAGTACAGGGGTTCAGTGTGACAGCATGCCCACAATGTCTTGAACATACAACTCAAAATACCATTTTTATTTGTTTTAAGTGTCCCCGGTTATTCATAATGTAAGAGGTCTGAAATTCCAAAGTTTGTTTGGGTTTAAAGTCCCTGCCTATAATACCAAAATACTTGACATTCTCTCAGAAAAACTGTGGAAGACTGGTGTTCATATCTGTTAAAAGCACTTGTGGAATATAATACACTTAGAAATGATGGGGTCAAATTCATCTTGATTCCAGTGACTTCAGTGCAAGCTTTAGATCGGTCTTATTTGTGAAAAAAATTGGTTACAAGACAGTATTTTAAAAATAAAAAAAATCCCCTATTTTTAATGGAAACATTTGTGTCAGGCTAATGAGTATAAGTTACGCATGTTGGATGCAGGGCAATCTCAACATTTTGAATTTCTTTGCCTGCTAGAAAATTAGAGGCGTATAATGTAAGAACATGATTGCAGTTCGGTGACCCTCAGGGTATTTCTAGACTACATGCTTTTGTCAACAGACTTTGTCGACAGATACTGTTGACAAAGAGCATCTAGACTACATCCAGTTCTGTCAACAAAGCAAGCCGTTTTGTCGACATGGGAGTGTAGATGCAAAGGACAGAACTCTGTCGACAAAAGGCATTTCTCGTAGAATGAGGTTTACCACCATTGACAAAACTGCCGAGTTCTGTTGACATTATGTCGACGGAACTCGGCGGTAGTGTAGACGTAAGTATAGTTTTGTCAACAAAAGTCCACTTTTGTCGACAAAACCTATAGTCTAGACACACCCTCATTGTCCACAGCTGCTTCACTATATTAAACCATTCACAACCATGCTTCACACTTCAGCGAAAACAAGGCATATAAACTAAAGGAGTGAAGTCATTGCATATACATTTTAAAAAGTTAGTTTCTGTGTGGGTGTGGTCATTTATGAGTAAAGTGGTCTTAATTTGCTGTTAATTAATCCTCTTCTTAGAAGAGACCACTTTTTTTCCCTAAGTGAGAGCTTGAGAGGTAGAAGAGGGGAGGATGGTAATGACATTTGAGGCTGTCTACACAGCAGCGTTATTTCGGAATAGCTCATGTTATTCCAAAATAACAAAGTCCGTGTTTACATACATGTAGTTATTTTTACATAATGTTGAAATAAAGTTGAGCTGGAAGACTTCTTACTCCAACTCCTGTAACCCTCATTGTAGGAGGAGTCAGCGAAGTCAGGGAATATTTGTATGCTATTTTGGGTGATAAACATATTTGCAATAAAATGTTAGTTTAAGCGGACTTGAATTATTCCAAATTTCCCCTTGCCATTATATTGCATAAAACAATCCAACTTTCATTTTAGTTACCGTATATAGTTTTGCATGGCTAGAACTTTGTTTTGGTTTATAGTGTTGATCACTTTGTACATTTTTTTTTAATATTCTAAAACCAATACAATAGGCTACTGAATTTGTGTTCTGTAAAGGATTACATATTGTTCATGCTTGTTAATACATTTTTTGTATTAATATACTGTATGTCTCAAATATTAAGCTTTGAAAATCCAAAATTACTCTTTTCATTGATGTTAGTAATTCTTAAGCATATGTAGTTTTTTAGCCAGAAATTCTTAAAATATTTGGTATTTTCTGTATGTCAGAGGTTTTTTTCAACTTGAAGCGTACCACTGCCAAAATATCAAGTAAGAGATCGCTTCTGAAGAAATGGGAATGCTCTTATCTGGGTCATATATCTTAAAAACATTGTCACCAGTGTATAATAAATAAAATATAATCCCCTTATAAAACTGCCTATCAAAAATACCCAAGCACAACATAGCCAGTCATGCAAACATTCATTTATCAGTAAAATAAAAATAAATTCAGACTTATAATGCACTTTTATCTCTATTTTCTCCTGAGCTAATCTAAAAATGATAATTTTCTCATTCTTTTGGAAACATATACGGTAATGATCCTAATTTGAAAATAGATAGCTCAAACAGCTTATTTTCTAAAATATCCATATTGAAAGAAAAGTAACTTAAAAACATACCAAGATGAAACCCGTCCATAATATAAAATTTAAAAAATTATGTAAGATATTTATTTACAGACAAGGTATTTTCACAGTAGTAAAGGTAAACAATTCATTAGGTTTGTGGAGTTTTCTGTCACTTAATGTCAATTAGTTTAAGATTTAAAATGTTTCTGAAAGAGGTGTTTTAACTCAAAGTTATAATGATCCTTGATGTAGCAAGTACTGTGAGATCCGTGTGTTATATAAGCAGTTTAATTAGATCATATTGGTCCATTATGATCTTATGATCAATGCATTTCTGAATAATACTTCTAGCTATTATAATCATACATTACTTTGAACATGTTTTCATAAGAGGTTTGGTGGGCTAAATTTGTCATTAGCTTTCTGATAATTGCTCACTTTAACAACAAGTCATTTAAATAAATAAGATATGTTTTACAGTAAAGAAAGCTGCATTTTCAAGCTGCTTTATTTTCTTTAAAATAAGTGAGTTTGTTGCAAGGTTAGCTGTCTAAGAACTTCAGTCAAATCATTAATGCAGTACCAACAGATTCTTTCACGAGTCAGTAAAAATGGGTTAATCCAACAGCAATCTGTTATATGTTACTTGCTAATCCATTTTTTTTTAAAAACAGGGTAAACCAGATTTAAATACGACATTGCCAATTAGACAAACAGCATCCATTTTCAAACAGCCAGTAACCAAAGTTACCAACCATCCTAGCAATAAAGTAAGATCAGATCCACAACGAGTGACTGAACAGCCACGACAGGTAAGAAGCTCACCAGTTTCATGTTATTATCATTCAGAAAATGGTATTGCAACCAGAGATCTAATTGGCTTTGGTTTAAGTTTAAGACAGAATAATTTTCATTCCAGGGGAGGTTTATGTATCTCTTTTTATTAAGTATCTCTTTTTTCCTGTTAATTAGTGAGTAGTAAAGAAGTAACTAAAAAGGTTTGATTCTGTACATGCTAGAATAAGTATGTAGGAGACTAATTTTTTAATCCATATCTAGATTTAGAGACTTTCTTTTCTTTATAATTCTTTTTTTTTAAACACATCTCTGTACTTTGAAATGAAGCTTCATTATGTTGCCCTATTTACAGCATTTGTTTCTAAAAAGTATGTTGTTTATAAAGGGGGAGAGGATAGAACATACCTTTGTAAAAGGCATTTTACTGGAAGAAAGCTTTACATAAAACATTATAAAATGCTGTTTTGTGGCTCTTAAGTTCATTAAATTGCCTTTAAGGAGGCTTATGATTAGTGCTCACTTTAGAAAATAGTATAGTATATTATTATAAACTTTGTTTTGTACAGGATTTCTTTTAAATCCCTTTCTATATACTGATGTTTGATCATCTCTTCACACCTAAGGGCTCTTCATTTGAAAAAAATGAACAAATGCAAGAGCTATCGCAAGGAACTCCCTGTTAGCTAATTATTAACACTGTATATAGGAGTTAGATTTAAAACAGTACCTGAAAGACCCATGTAATCTTATTTATTAAGCCCCAATAAGGTTGCTAACATCAGGTTAAGATGCCTTATACATTGGCTGTTTAAGGAAAAAAGTACCGCAACACTTATTTATGTGTTCTGTACACTATCATGGCCCCTTTCTTATTACAGAGCAGAGTTAAGTTTTGGGGACAAACATGCTTTTAACATTCATTCTCTATGAAATCCAGACTGCTTCTATCAGCATTGCTCCCTCAAGGGTCCTGTGTGCACAGATCTTGTAAGAATTAATTTTGACCTATCACACATGATTTGGCTTTGTTTTCTTAAAGAATCTATCTAAAGAATTTGGATCCTACATCCTGTGTAGTGTTTCTTCCTCTTCAGGTGAGCCAGAAAAGAAGAGATTTGGAGCCATATTGGATCATCTTGTTATAGAGGTCTTTCAGCAAGATTTGAAGGTTTCGACTTGCCTCA